TTAATTTGATTGAACCTTTAATGTTGCGACAGCGCTGTGGTCCTCGCGTGGCGACATTGTGCCTGATAAAGCCTTAATCTTAAGATTCTTGAGACGCAGAATATCGAGGATCACTATTTCATAAATACTATAATATTTAATAAATAGGTGCTGTGAAAATTATCCTATGTAACAAATTATTACAGCCGTTAAAAACCACACAATAGTTGCAAGTGCAGCTTCTACGACATCCATTACCCCTGTTCCCCGCACTGTGGTTACCAACAAACAAACTAGAGTTCAACATGTTGAAAACAAGACACGTAAGTTTAAATAAAAATAAACCATTACTTGCGAACTTAAATATTAAATTATTATCAAGGACGGATCCACCAACCGTTATGGACATGTCCATAACACAACCCTAACAGCTCTGACGTCACATTTACATAGTATGTATATACTAAAGTGCATATAAACAAAATCGTCATTACGGGGCTTCATTTTATATTTTCTGGTATTGGGTACTGAATTCTTGAACATTTTTGTCACAGGAAATTAAAGTGGTGTGACAGCGACTAGATAGCTCTTTTTCCGATTCTGAGAGATATAAAATTAAATATTACGAAGAAACGAAAATGAAAAAAAAAAAAATTTTCCATTTGTTTTTCATCCAAAGATGGGATGGGTTTATGTAATATTTGCTTTCCTCCAACGGCTTCGCCCACGTGGTCTCTAGGGAACTGTTTACTCGGATATCGATACACGGATCATATTATCATGAAACGGATATATAAGTATTTATATAAATCGAGTTATATCAATCACTAGCACTGCTTAAATAGTATCCCAGATAGCAATTTAAACTTGTTTCTGATTTGCAACAAGTTTGATACATCAAAAAAGAAGACTTGCTTCAAGTTTGCCACGACAACTGCAGCAAGTATAATTCAAACTTTCTGATTTAAGTGTGACAAACTTGCACTACCTTTGACGTATCAAAGGTAGTGCAAGTGTACCTGGGAAAATTATTATTACTACTACCGTAGTAGTAGTAATGATAATTTTCCTAGGTACTGACTCGAATATCTGGAATACAGGTTTCGAGGCAAATATTGCTTTAAGTTAAGTTTTTATTAATCTTTTGATCATTCAAAACTTTTGATCCAAAAGCGATTGCGACTTTAAATTTAGACCACAGCACAGAGCCTGGCCTGGGGACCGAAGTGATTATCAACGGGAACGGTGGTTTCGAATCGAATATTAAGGTCACATTAAACGGCATATTACTTATACAATCTAACAATATAAACTGATACCGCGATGCATTAAATAAACAACGCCATCTAGTTTGCAGACTTAGAACTATTCGGGCACCTATGAAGATGAAGGGTGTGTTACAAATAAGTATATTTGTCATAACAATATTCAAACAATATTGTCGCAAACTTAAAACTTCATATTTACATAACAATATTGCAGCGACATTGTCACAAACTTGCCTCGTATATTTGATGCAGCAATTTAGAATCAAAGAAAAATCAAACTTGCCCCAAGTCAGCATGCTATCTGGAAGAATGCTTATCTATGGATTGCAGTTTTGTCTCGGCTAACCAGCGAGAAGATTGTAGGGCTAATTTGAAACTTTATTCTCAACCTATTAATTACAATGACAAATTGAATAGTAAACAACGTTTACTATGCCAACGTTCTAATTTCCTAATACTAACTACCACTCCCTTTTTCACACCTTTATTTGCTGTTTTTCGGGATAAAATAAAGCCCAAGTTCACCACATATCGTAGTAGCTATCGGAGCCTATTCGTTGAAAACAAATAATCAAATCTTTGCTCTTTTTACTATTAGTATAGACAAATATGTGGTCAAAAAGTTGTCTTGAGTAAAAAATGCTTAGTAGGATTTTACAAACACTTCGCTTTAATTCGCATAACTTAACAATCGTTTTCTTAACAATTGCAGAATCACGTCAACAAGAAAGGAAAAAGGAAAATGCTAAAAAGAAAAAATTCAACCGCAACCCTATATTACACCAAGTTGCTGAAGAATTGATTAATGAAATAGGCATCGCCAAAAAAAGTGTCAAAAAAGAGCAAGATCTGCCAAAAACAAAATATCACGGATACGTAAAAAACCAGTTACGAAGAAGTTTTATCCAAAATAATGACACTGTAATGAAACCAAATGTTCGTACTAAGACCACTATAAGAGTGCATATGGAAAAAAGCACAAGGCTACTTTTGCCGCTATCACAAAATAATGCTTATTGTTTTCTAAGCCCTAAGAGTGCACTTTGCCGGTCATCGATTTAAAATCTGAACATTATACTTACCGTTGATTTGATATAATAGCTGCATAATTACTGTAACAAATATCTTTAGGTTTATTAGTTGATAATTTTTATCTTACAATATTGTTTTTTTATACCTTGTTTCCTTAGTCTTATCATCTCGCTTTTAGAAACTAAAGTATCGTTAGGCATTATGTTTTCCACTTGCTAGTTGTTCCTTAGCTAGGTTCCCTAGAGTAAAAACAATGAATACTAAAAGATTTGTCGTTTTAAAAGTTCATGCTAATATAACTTGATATTAAAAAAATTATTTTCTAAATTATTTAGTTTCCTAGCATTTTCTGTCATGAAGCATGTTTTCAAGTAATAATTATCTGTCGTAAAAAAAATATAGCATAACTCATTTGTATCGTAAAATTTTTTTTCATACAAAAATATGTTAATGCTGGTGGTGCTGATATTTTACAGTCAAACCTGTAGGTGAAATTTGAACTGATGTAATCATAATGTAATGTAATCATCGAGTCCACCATTTTACTTTGGTCCTGCGTTGGCCGTGTTGCGTGTCGTGCCACCACATTCAATTCTGCGAACTCCTACACTGGCTTGAGAAGGTTAGTTTAGAAAAAATATTGTGTGGCGTTTTTTACCACGTCTACCTTTTTTAGGGTTCCGTAGTGAACAAGGAATTTCGCCATGTCCGTCTGTCCATCCCTCCGTCCGTGGTCTAGCTCAAAAATTATTGGTACTACTCGTACAAACAAACGGCCTATTCTATTTTACCGAAAACTAAATTTTATCAATTTTCGAGATGCTAATACGACTCCAAAGAAACGCGTAACGGTATAACGGTCGGGCATTATCATAGAGGAAAAGTATTTTGTAATGTAAGAATTTCCCAGTATGTACTCCATATACCCAGACCCAGAGCATTACCTTTTATGGGCGTAGGTTCGTCTGGTTCGTTGCGGTCTAGCCACTGGCGCTTGCATGTCTGGTTAACATACATAACCCACTTTTTGTCTCCAGTGACGAGATGGTCTAGCCCACAGAACATAGAGAGAGTTCTGTGGTCTCTATGTTCTGTGGTCTAGCCAGTTAAATGAACAACGAAATGATAATAGATGTGACATATATTTTTGCACGGAAAGCGAGTTAATTCTTGGCCAGCTGATGCCCAAAAGCCAACCTGTTAGACTTTGTTAATGCAGGCAAAGGATTTTCAATCGTACCATGAGAAAAACGAAACTCTACAGCCAAATCACGTGTTCTGCGACTAGAATCTTCACAAATTGACGTCTTCAGTCTTTTTATATTTGTTAGTATTGGAAGCCCAGACGTGCGGAATCGTTGGAATCGCCGCTTTGCTTTTGACTGCGTCATGAGCTACCCACTGGCATATGCTACGTGCAGCTTCTGAAGCGGAATATTGGTGCTCATATAATAAACAAATTTGGACATGGTTTTTAATATCATTCATTTTTTTCGTTGAAGTTAACCCAACGACTTTCAAAGTATTACTGATGTGCACGACCACGACACACTCTTTATATACCGCGCCATAGAACGTTCTCGGCCCTACTAGGTTTCTAGAAAATAAAACCCTCATTACTTATTAGCCAATCCAATAACGACAAGGAGAAATATAATGTAAGACAAACATTTTTAAGTTGAACTGATGATCGAAGTAACAATTATAATCTATGAATAATTGCCGAGTATCGTACTATGCGCGTGTGAATATGCTGGGACAATATTTGCCATCGTATTACATGACCCATCTATCCTTTTTTATTGTAGTATCCTTGCGGCGCAAACAAAAATTACTGACGTTTCTTAATTCCTTATTTCATGTCGCAGATCGCAGTTTGGCATTTAGTGGGATTTGTCATCCCGTGTATGCAAAATAAAAAGATGTGTTATTTACAGTTGATTAGTTAACAATTAACTTTAGTAGCGTTTATAAGTAAGAAATATGTAACGACTATGTACATATTTAAGAAGTTAAGTAGTGGTTATAGTTAATCTGACGCTGACGTTAATTAGTTTTTTTTTATATAAGTAAGGCTGTAACGTGTTTAATATTTTTCAACAATCTAACTGAGGGCTAATTTTATAAATATATATAATTTGGCAGTTGGCAGTTTTCTATTTTTAATTATGTTTTAAGAAAAAAAGAAAGCACTTAAAAGCGCCCCACTAGATGGCGACTCTAGCATAAGTTGATTTTAGCGAAAAAATACGAAAAAGTACAAATAGAATATACCTTTGAGTTTAGAAAATTTATTAACTTTTATATACGAAAGAAAACCGGAAGGGTTTTCATGGAGAAATTAAGAAAATACCGTAGCGACATCTAGTTTGATTTTGGAATGTATTTCTTTAAATACTTCAATATAAATAAAAAAAACTATAAATTTATACAGAATATTTGTTGCAAATTTCGTCACTAAGTTAATAACGTAACGTTATTGAGAATAATTAACAAAGCATTAATAATAAACAATAATTAGCATGAACTGTAAATTGTTAGAAACATTTTATTTAATAATTAACAAAGTTATTGAGAATTTGAACTTTTCTCAATCGGAAACGGGAAAAAGCCGTAAGTTTGCGGCTTCAACTATTAGAGTTACACGCATCACTACCAAACAGATGTGATACAAGGAATTTAAATAATAGAAGGAGCGAAATTAAAAAGTAATTAATTTTTAAATCATTTTTATTACTTTACGAAATCTAATTTTGACAAATTTCTGTTTACTATGTTTAAAATAGCGTTATTACACTATATTGAATTTTCGTATTCTTTTAATTAAATTCAGTTCCCAAAAACATGCACAAAGATAATTAGCATATTCATTTAGTAATATTGAGGTAGTTATTAGTTTCTGAACTTATACCAATTATAAATGGTTCTAAAAATAACAGTAAAATAATTCAATGAAATTTTAGCGGTACAGTTAATTATATTCGTCCGGTATGAAATCGATGAAAAAATCAACTGTGTATACATTGAACGTTAATACATTTATCGAGAAGTAACAGTAAACACACCTCTGGCCCTATGTGTATAATGTAAACCGGAAGTATCATTAGCCTCGTGTGGTCGCGCCTCTGAACAATAGCGTCATCGCTAGTAGATCGTGAGACGAGAATGCACGAGTAACGTGAGGGGAGGGCAGCGGCGGCGACGGCGACGGCGCATCTACGCCCGCACCCATTTTCCGATAGCAAGGCTAACAAGGTCCAGCGAAATACACAATACACTCATTGCTCACACTTCCTCGAAATAAAATATTAAAAGCTTTCAGAGGGGCTTAATGTACGAATAATACGGCCTTCTCTGACAATACTTAAGATGATAACAATTACAAAATTGAATGGTATCAAAATACTAATAATGTAATGTGATCGACGGTTTTATTTTATATTTTTATAATCTAATTTTATTATTATATCGAAACATATCATCCCCTATTCAGGTAATGTTATAATTCAATTAATAATGCAAATATATGAAAGTAAATCCAGTCGTTCACACATCAAATACATAAAATAGTGATTACACACATGAGAAAGTAATATTATAACGTAAATAACAGTAGAACCAAACAAGAATGATAAAAGTATATTATTAGCGTTAATGACATGTAAGTAATAGGCGCGGGAGCGCGGCGGCAGTTGTAGTTCAGTCTCGTGGCCTCACGCGACACCCGCGCCGACCCTCAACTTAACACTACTTCACAACGATACAATTAATAAACTAAAACTATTTCTGCATCCTAAACACATTACAAATCATAATGTACCCTCTCTTGCTTACATTTGGAAGGAATAAACAACATGCCTATATATGTACACTCTGTCGTAGTGAAAGTAACTGCATATTAAAACTCCATTCAGATAGCCGATGCAAGGGGAATCTGGCCGTCAGTGTGTCTAAAGAACGGCGGGCGGGGACGATGCCGACTACGCCCATCGCCGCCCCAGCGGGCCGCAGCCCCAATCATCAGTAGCACATGACAAAAGCCATATTACACTTTGTCCTGTATATACTTTGTAGAATATACTGTATTACTGTGTGAAAATGTTACACCAATATGTAATCTATACAAATTCAACACACAAATTGAAACGTCAATAATGCATATAGTTTTTTACTATACTAGCAGGAATTACTCGTACCCGTGCACTGTTATCCTATTACAGTTTATTTGAAACCGTTAGAGGTTACGTTCAAAAATCAAAACGATTAGTGGACAGATATGATGTCACAAGAACCTGAGGCGCACGGGTAAAGTAATTGACTAGTAAACATTAATTACTTGTTCATATTGTACAAATAACTGCTAACACCGTGATTACAATTGTACATCTTGTAATTTGAGGTCACTGACCGATAGACAATTATTACAAATACTTACCATGTAACATTAAATACAAATTTCATATATTTTTTTAACGACCACGAAGATGTTTGATTCTAAACGAATCTCTCAGCAAGGTGTTGTTAGTTAAATGGAATGTTAAGGTTTATAAATGCTATCGCATATTTAGAATCAATTAACTATGATTACAGAGGTTACAATAACTGTGGTAAGAGACAGCAAGTTAGGTCATTGCAGCATTCACATTATCTATATCGTACTGGTTGGTCCTGTTGCAATGCACTCTGATCTCGTGTGATAAAACTTCCAAATTCACGCCAAAAGTTGGTTATAACCAAATATTTCACTATCATTTTTGTTGGTCAATGCAATTATGTTGCAGTTATTAGTGACATCACTGCTATTGTCAATGTTGCTCATTAACAGTTTCTCCAAAGAATAAAGGCGTTGACTACGCACTGCATTCACAAGTCTAAGAAACATTTTACTGTAAGCAATAAATGAACAAAGAAAACATTGTTCGCTACCTGCAATGAAAGTATTTTTTATTTTCACAGCACTCGAGCGTCTGTATTTGCATCCGTGATAAAACGCATTAACACAATCGGAGGTCACGAGGCTCTAGCGCAATTAGTTATTATAGTGAAAACAAATTGTCCTTACTACCATAATACTTCTTAATTTATAAAGGGATGTATTTAATAACACCATACTTACCTAACCTAACCACGAACAATACTAAATATGCATCGAAAATGACTAAATGGGCATCAAATTGAAATTTCCAAGAGCACTAGGATCACATTAGATGCGCATTTGGTATTATTTTGGCGTTAGAAATATTATAGTCAAATTCAACAGTAACATATAACAACCTTACACTAGGTCCCCTGATCTCATTTTTAAAGACTGCATATGTTGTTGCACTACTAAAAATGGAGCTACTGTAATCTAATTTTTAGATTAGCGATTGTACATATCCTAATAATGCAAGATTCTTAATGTACACTTATACATTTAAAAGTGTCATAGCATCATGCTCATTGATCAATTGTATGTAATTAACGCAATGCGTCTGTTAAGTTCTAATCGATATAACTTCAGTAGAGTGAACCCTTACACTAAATATGTCATATTATCTGTAGAATACATTTTAAACGGAAGCTAAATACAATACTTTCCGTAGCGTGTGAGAAAACTGCAACACGTAAATAAATACAAGGATTTCTTGTTATTATCGATATGTTAAACCGATAAATAAAAATTTAGTAACAAAATGTTAATTAAATTAACTAGTACAATAGATAACAGCGAGGTAGGTATAGACATAGGAACCTTGTTCGCGTCATTTTGCGTGCCAACCGATACAGGTGTAACGGGTGGGGCATTTACCCGACGGACGTGGTCAACAAACCAAGTGTAATCTGTAGTATAACGCGCGGCACCCAAGTTGAACCAAAATGGCATTTTCCCGTCTTAGTATAACCATGAACCTAGAGTTAACGCTGCAGCTCTTCCCCGAACCTCGATCCGATAGTTCAACTTAGGTACTGCGAACTGTAGTCTATTATGTTATTATTTATAAGAAAATATACTAAATAATTTATATGGAACAACAATTGAAATACTAATATTTGACAAATCAAATTTAAAACCTTTAAATGTATGTAATACTGTTGAGGATTTATTAAAATTAAGAGTTTTATTGAATACATATATCTATTTAAACAATGTCTATGCAATAGTTTAAATACAACTGCTAACAATAAAATCAAACTATATAATTATGATTCAATATTTAAAACATCAATAAACTATTTCGATTCTATACCATTCCCGTGTCAAATATAGTGTACTAATAAATTAGTGTCGATTTTGTCATTTTATTTTCTGATTACAATTTTATGAAACTTTTCAGAGAGATTGATTACATATTTTAAATTCAATAATATGTGGAAGCAATATACATTTTTCTTATGAATGGGCGATCAAACGCAGAATGGGATTCACATAATTTATAAATTCTAAAAAAGAGGAATACTTATCATGACTAGTGTTGTCGACGAGAATCATTCATGTGTACAACCCTAAACATGCAGCACCAAGTACATAGTGATGTGAATTAATCGGAAGTATCGATAGATTGATTGATGAAATGAAAATTATTTTATGCATTTGGGAATCATAAAGCCAAATTTTTGTGAGGCTGAAGTAAGAAGGCGAAAGATTCGGGGGCCATTAGTTTTGTTGAAAGGCGAATGAGCCAAGAGAATTTGTATTTTTTTTACACCAATCAAACAGCCTTTATCGCCTTTACAACTAAGATTTAACCTAACCTAAAATTTGAGAAATTGGGAACAAGAATGTAGAACATTCTTAAGACATTTTTGCCAAAACTTCCATATATTATTATCACAATTATAAATATAAATATCTAAGTATTTCATTAATTTTGATATTTTCACTTAATCTTAATCTCTCAATATTAAATATCTCACTTGGCACATAACGCAAATCGTACATTTGAATTAAACACATCACGAAAGAACCAAATAATACGCTACACTTCCACGTTTCATACGCTACGGTATCTCGTCTTAATTTTCAAAATCTTTCATTACAGTTTCAATACAAGAAAACATCATACAGCTAACAAAGACAAAATTACAAAGAAAACGATCAACAAATGTCACTTACAAATTAAAACTCATAAGTTTACCTCTTACTCTCCAACAATTACTAGTATGTATATCAAAAATATTTTATATCCACTCAAGGTGGATTCATCACTTCCATTATGTGGATGCGGTGTCGGCGACGCTCTTGGGCCGCACGACGCCCGCTAGTCTAGTCAAGGCTCGACACAACGCCGTGCCGATTCTACACCGGATCGGCGTACACTCTTTGGATTAGTTACTTAACACCCAACTCACACGTCCAATCTATTAAACCCATCATTGTACAACACGTTCTCATCAGCATGCATGCAGAAATTCCATGTATCGTTTATATTAATATCCCTACAATATAGTCGCAAAGCATCCGTTCGTCTATTGAGCCTCCTCGGTAAAACGATGTCGTGTACATTATCCGTTCCTATTATATCATCCCACACACACCCTTTCAAATAATATATAACTTTACACTGTAGTGATTTCAACAGATTAATCTATTATATTTATAACAAAAAATACGTTCCTCTCGTTATTATAATTATGATGTGGTACTAATTATTATAGCTATTGTTATTAACATGTGTATATGTATAGAGAACATAATCATTATCTATTGCATTTATAACTTTAAAATGTATCAGAGTAACATGGTATGAAAACAATATAACAATCAAATATATTACGGTACTAAGTTCTTATAACTGACACTATCGTTAAATAATAGTGTATATGAATAATATATATGCATATAATATATATATCATATTCAAATATTAATTATCAACATAGATAATACCGGGATAAAATATGGATTCATCAATAGTAATTAATTATAATTCACTACAATAATAATAATAATTATGTCAACAACAACATTTTGGACAAGTGTTGTCAACACAACAACCTGCCTGCGCACTGCTCAATAATTAAAAGCGGTCTTGTGTCAGAGGAGCTACGCTCCGGTCGGTGACGCGGTGCGAATGACGCGTGGCGGGTAGTCCGGGGATATGGTGGTTGTGGTGGTATATATGGTAAGTGGTGGGTGGGGGGTTGCTTTGTTGGGAGCGGAGGCCATTTACTGCTGGGCTGGCGGCGGCTGAGCGGCACGACGACGACCCGGCGCACTCGCTTGCGCCACCATCGCGCGGATACGTCGTTGCGCAGACTGTGGGGGAGAGAACGCATATTACAAACAACGCCAACAGACATTCCCCACTTATGGTTTTGATACACAAAACTACGAATCGGTGCCAAACGAATTCGCAACGGTTAAAAGTTGCCGATTTCGTGACTGCATGCGCATGATTTACTGGCATTAACCAATGTGACGTAATAACGCAGGAATGAGCGATAGAAATCAATGGGCAAACTGTTGCGATGCAGAGGGCAAAGTGGATACGACGTCGACGTCGTATCGTAGTTTTGTGTACATAATAACCTTGCGCCAGCAGTACATAAGGTAACTATTGAAACGCTAAAGAGACAACGAGGACATAAGGTTTTAGTACGTGTGAGTAGGTATACTAAAACGTGGGTAAAGACTATTGATTCTCTGAATCTTTACCACGAGTCAGGGACCAGAGATGTCCTCACAGTAGGAGTATTCACGGGTACCACTCTCTAGCAAGGCCATGCTCAGTTTTTTGTGGTTAGGCCCCCAGAGTCTTTTAACAGTCATCCCACTGTATGGTAGAGTACCACAGTCATAACTAAATCAATAAAATTATATAACAATTTGATAGGACATCTTGTTATTATTACAAATTTACGAATGATAAAACACATATCCCATCAAGTGAAATGAATACATATACATAGCACGTGGTTAATAGAAACTTCCATTCTAAACGCTTGAATGCACTACAATTACAACAACAATGATAAGCATATCATATCATAATGGCGTATCCACCTACTTTTTCAGTTCATATTTCCAAATGCACATGTAATACAATTACTCATTCCTCAGCGAGGCTTTTTGGTCTATAATAATGTTGTCACACAAAGGTACCCGATTTCATATCGTTTACAATTTTAAGTTTTTATTGGATTTTTTGTTAGCTTTAAGTTAAGAATCTAAACTTTAATCAGACAACTTATTTTGTGTATATTGCATTGCCACACCGTTCTAAAATTTCTATAGTGTAAATGGCTACTTCAAGCTGCAGCACATTATATATTATTTCTTATATATTATGATCACATTCCTTACATTCCATTCATCACATACTTTTTTATGACATCTGCTCATATGTAGTTACAAAGTCCATAAAATTCTAAAAGGCTTAACATAAATTAAAGACAGTAGGTGTTATGAGACATTTTTATTATAACTTGATGAAATTCGCTTCGTTTTAGTATTGAAGTATTACTCACCTATTTAAAACGTCATTCGAATTAAAGACCATAGATTTCTGGCAATTCAATACACCATGTGCGATCGGTTCCTTAGAACTGGTCTCTTCACTGTTATGTCTCATCCCGCTTCGGCTGTTTGCTACAAAATGTAAAAATCTTATTATGCCACAGTGAGTAATATCATGCTCAAGACAAATAACAATGAAAAAAAAATGTATTTCGCATAGCGCCAGCTATTAATAAAATTCTTATACTTATCTTAGTGATACTTTAAAAACCAGAATCCAGCAACATCTTCAACATAGAAAAGTGGACTTGTAACTACATGTATACATCCATCAATCTCATACCTTACAATCCCTATCTATGTCTATAAAACAACGATTCTTTCGCAACGCATTGTATGACCGACAGTGTCCACAACCAACATTAGCTTTATTGAAAAGTACTTGCTACCACAATAATTATCTACCAACATGACCTTTATACATCTTAATAAACTATATACAGATGCTGTAAAATCTGCTCCATTAGGGGCATCAGATGGACTTTTTACACTAACGACTAGAAAGAACAGGCAATACGAGTAGGTTGTATCTAAACTCCGGAACTAAATACAAAGACCGACTTACTCAACTTCGTTTACACTTGGTCGATTGTATCCAATTCCGAAGGTCAGCAGTTTTTAAAATTGGGAAATGGAACCCTTTTGAAAATCAAATATTTACACGCGAGTCCTACAAGTTTCATGGAACATACTGTTAATTAACACTACCATAGGTATTCAAATTAAGTCAATTACTATTGAAATTTTGCCTTGTAAGTTGGTGCAAAAAGAAAAGAAATCATGCAATATTGCGACTTCAATTAATTAAGTTGTACGTATTAAGTTGCCATTCATATGAAGTAGGCCAATTTATAAATTATAAACATAAAAATACTATTATTTTACAAAATGTTTAGTTAACTTGATTGGCACATTCGATTTCTTCGAATGAGCCATTGCTTTTATCATCGCAAAAAATATTACCGATAAAAACAATTTCATTTGTAGTATATTTAGTACACTACACTACAAACACAGTGTATTTACTTTTAATAGATAACTGCAGATGCAATTATATGTGGCAAATAAAAATTATTAAACTTAAACGCTAATGTGGATTTGAACAATCTATACGGTAACTGTGTTTAAAATTTTCCGTTATAACATAACACAAATTCGTTATTAGCACTTCGCCGATTATGTGTATTATAAACAAAAAGAAAAAAAAAATCGGTATTAAGTAGGCTTCATCATACCTGGACGCTGTAGAACGGTCCGACGATGTGCACCGTCGTGTCGTGATCCTGCTGCGGGGCGCCCGGCTGCTGCGGCTGTTCAGGCAGCTTGATCAACGAGCCCGTCATACGTTGCAACTCCCTCACATTCTGGCCGCCCTTGCCGATAATACGCCCCACCTGGGACGACGCCACGACTATCTCCACGGTCAAACGCACGTCATCTGAGCCAGACATGAAGCCTTCCTCTCGCATCTTTTCGAAAATCAAAAACTGGGCCTTCCACTGTGCCTCGGGACTGCCGACAATTGTGACTTTGCGCTCCTGTTGCGCATTCTGATTCTCCCCCTGCTTATCTTGCTCAAGCGGTGCTATTTTCACAGAGGCTCTGCTGAATCGGATTATGTTTCGAATGTGAGAGCCTTTGGTACCTATTATGGCACCCACTGCATTGTTCGGTATGTATAAGTAAGTAGTCTCCTGAAAAACGATATGTAAAATGTCAGATTTTGTAATATGAAAATGTTTATTTTGGAATGTAAATGTCATTCCAGTTCTAATTGTGTGCAACAATAAGTTTGTTTGATCGAACGATACCATTTAGATAAAAGACGAAATAAACCTTATTTTAACAAATAATAATACGACTTTAATGAGAATTATTTCCCAACATAGTCGTCACAAATATTATTTGACGACTTCACACGCATGTAGAATGTAGCTAATTGAAATAAATATACCCTCATAGTTACCTGACTATCGCCAGCTCCCTGTTGTGCGCCTCCTTGGCCAGCCAGTGGCGCATAGATCGGTGGAGGTTGGAATGGCGGTGGAGCACCGCAGAAACTACGCCCTGTCGACATCATTGCCATGGGGTGCAGTCCCGGGAACATTATGCTTTGTGGCGCCAAAACCTAACAAAACATACGACGTAAGTAAAGAACCATTCAACGAAACTAAACAAAATAACATTAATAAGATACAAAGTCGCTTGCCTCTACCTGTAAATCGTTCTCATAACTCTGACGGAGCTTTGCCGAAATCTGTGATTCGGCTTTAGCCATGTTTTCAATAGTGCCTTTGACAGTAATAATTCGTTCCAAATTGAAACTATTGATATCATTGATAGAGGATACTGTAATTTTAGTATCAGTCTCTTGCATGATCCTTTTGATAGTGTTGCCTCCTTTACCGATGATACGCCCAATCAAATTGTTGTGCGCCAAGATTTGAAGAGATATATCTCTGAAAAAGTATTAACTATGTAGTGTACATCGACAGACAAGTTAATATGATAAAACGCGACTAAGCTCATTTTGGATGAAGGAAATCTACATACCCTTTATTGGTATTGTTGGCTTCCTGTTGCATTACTTCAAGTATCCTCTTGCAGGCGTTGGTGCAGTTTTCTGGGTTTCCGTAAATAGTTATGGCCTTTTCTAGAGATCCGACGTTGTCCTTGCGGTGTACATCGACACGGGCCCGACTTTGCTGCGTGATGAGACGGATGGTGCTGCCCTGACGGCCGATGATCGCGCCGACCATGTCACTCTGCACAAGCAGCCGCAACGGAAAGTCGGTGGGACGCGAGCCGCCACCAGCCGCTCCGCCACCGCCACGGCCGCCGCCGGGTCGCCCGCGTCTCCCTCCGCGTGCATTCTGCTCCGTTGCCTCCACCTTCATGCGACTACCCTCTAGCTCACAGCCATTCAAGCCGTTTATAGCCCTGAAACAACAATATATTCACTTCATTCCACGTCCCCAAAAGGTAAACCACTACCACCGATCACACTTACAAAATATATTACGGCATCCTATTGTTTTTAATTTGACTCGAGTTATGAAATTCTGATACAATCAATATACCAAAACTGTCTTAATATTTATTTACAACTTAGAAAAGTACATTTTCTATAATCCAAAGATATTTGGACCTAAAGTTGACGATACTTTAAAACTGTGACCTTTGACCTAACCGTTGATCACAACATATTTCATATGTTGAGTCTACAATTGTCAAAATCTCTAGCATATATGCTAAAAGGAAGCTTGAAAATGCACGGTAGCAATTTTTTGGCTACCTGGAATGAGCTACCGACCCTAAGCAAATGAAATAAAAAAAAATATAGAATGATACTTAGTAGTATAATTAGTAGCGGCCTAGAAAAATTTAAATATCATTGACTTAATGTCAAAACAAAAACAACATTTATTATAAACCAATAAAGTTGAAAAGCTTTAACTGTGAACATCTCCTATTGATAAATTTATTGAACAAAATTATTACCAGAATCATTTTTATTATTTTATAAAGAATTAAGGTTTCACGATTTTTACAAGTTTATTTATATTTGCTTTATTAATAGGACTGGATCTTAACGTTTCGAAAACGATAATTTGGAAAAGTATATGACTTACATTATAATGAATATACCTAAAAAAATTTACTTGTATTCATGTATTCTTATCTTAATTAGTATCTTAATAGTTAGATTAAAAATCTCAAATTAATTTTGTAAAATAAAAATATTTACAAATTATTCTAAAACAACGAATACTACATAATTATCGTTTCCCTATTAGATACCATTTCCAACATATTTCATCCTTGATTTAAAACCGTCACGCAGACAATAAAGTATTTGAGTAATAACGAAAAATAGTTTTATATTTAACTACATAATGGGCACATAACATTAATATTTCGGAAAAATTTACTGTATTTATCAATAAAAATCAAAGTTAATGTTTAAATTTAAGGAACCGCGCGAAAAACGCTGCGTCTCATCATACACCGCGTATAACGTCGCATGCAAGTTAATAAACAAACCCCATCAAACTAAAATCGTCAACAGGGAGCCATTGTTTACTAGCGTGTGACGTCATGCGTTGTGGAGTTACAAGGCGTTTTCGTCTCAGATAAAATAAAAAATAAAGTAAAATATGTGTTATTTATTACACTATTATCTTATAAGATGACCAATTTTTGATATTTATTTTATTTCTAGCCATAAAGGGGTTATTTTATCATTTTCAAATCAAAAAGCATATATAAAAGTAAGGTGAGATTTTCATTTAAGAATCCCATGTATTAGGAAGGCAGGTATTTTTTTCCCTAGGTGGGTAGGACTGTCTATAATATTTGCCAAGCGTCTATTTGTCGAAAGTTACACGTGTTTTCGTAAACAACAAGTGAATTTTTCGATTTTTACAATGGATGATTTTGTTGAACAAAGCAATTGCATCAAATATTGTTCACATAACGAAAATGAAAGACGAACCGCGCTCTGGACGACCTGTCAATGCCTACATGACGAGGGCCACGTCCAAAAAATCGAAGATTTGGTGCTACAAAATCGTCCATTGACCTCGTCGATAGTATTGGAATATCATTAAGTTAGGCTACTTGTCTGAAACGACACTCTTGGTTCTTTCAACACGATAATGCACCATGTCATTCTGTATTGGTTCTTCGCGACTTTTATTGCTTAAAACTCGACTCATGGCGTTCCGCAACTACCGTATTCGCCTGATTTTGCCCCGTGTGACTTCACACGATTGAAGAGATAAAACAATCGAAGGTTTATTTATTTTTATTTATTATTTAAGGTTTACCAACGTTCGTGTTCAACATTACATACATTCTAATTACAATAAATTTTATGTTAAATAACTAATTGTCACAAACACTTATAGGTAAACACAACATGCACTAGAACATGAAGTAAGGTTTGAAAGCTATACCGGAAATGGACTATTTCGGCTGTGTCGAGGACTGGAAAAGGCATTGGCAAAAGTACGTTTTATCGAATACGTTTTAATTAGAAGGGGATGAAATTGTTTTGGAAAATTAAAGAATTTTTATAAACAAATTCACCTTACTTTTTGATCACAATAGCAATTTACAGTGAATAAACAAACTTTTGTTGGTATTAAACAATATAATTCCATCACCATATATTAAATTCGTTGGCTTTATTATAACTTCTTCCAAAAACAAACTTCAAACGCGCTGACATTATAGTTTCCTTTTGGTAAAACAGATAATATTATTTTATTAACATAAATAACAAGACTCTTTCGCATGTTATACAAATCTATTTTTGAGCAAGTCTAACATTAACTAAAGAATCTAACATGCAAAAAATAAGTCGTGGTCAAAAAAAACTACCTAAACGCATATCCATCATCCAACATTACCGCATTAGTACACGACGGATCATTTGTAGAATGTGCAAGATTGTATTGACGGAGGATTGAGAAGACAGAGATTTCGTGAGAAAAATGTGCAACTATTCGAAGAAAAATTAAAATTTGAATAATTTGGAAACTAATAGAGTCGGTGCATATCTGACTGAAAACTGAGAAATGATAAATCTAAGATATCGTGAAAAAACGTGTAAGAGCTTTCTAACGTTTCGGCTAGAGTACACCAACAGTGGGTTAAACATTGATTAAGAAATCGGTCGATGAAATTGTAATCGTTGTTTAAACAGCAATTTCAAAAATTCATGTTCACCAGGTAAATTTTAATTACGATTACCGAATCGGCCGATTATCTTTTTTTAGAACGAATGTACGAATGGTAATACACTAATTAGTTGCGTAGGTGGTTCTGCCGTATTCATACGACACGGTATATATTGACACTTAAATGTAAGAACATAATAAAAATATTTCCAGATTTTAAGAGTATGAATGACTTAACAGAAACTATATAAATCAATATATTTTAACTTCGGTCAACCTTTAAATTCAAAATAATAGAGCACATAGAACAAAGAAAAAGGTGAGTATCACTGTCAAAACAATAAACTCGTATTGGAAATGATTTTGTTTCTTTTGTATCGTATCGTGTGAAATAATAAAAGATCCTTAAGGAAGAAAAATGTAGGTAAATAGTTTGTCAAAATTGAAAAAAGCGCACCTCAAATTTCATGAGCGACGGACGATTAACCGAATTGGTGCTCAGATATAAAGACGTACGAGTCCTCAATTTTTGTAAGTTCTTTTATATATATAGGTTGTGTAATAAAATGTTTGCTTTTCATAATTAATTACATTTTATTAGATTCAACTCCTTTTTACATTATTGATTCGTAAGAGACTCAAAATATTTACTAATTAATAATCTTCTAACTGAATTTAAATCTGTTCTTGTACCATCATTTACAATACGCTGTTGTCTTATTATTCCTTGATCTATTCTATTATATCTTCCCATGGCGCTGGCAAGACTACCGTTTGATCATATGATGATATTCCATCACCTCTATGATAGGTATATCCATCCAGGTTTTCAAGCAGTTCTAGATCCCAATAACTGTAAGTTTGTTCATCATTACATAAACGCACGAGTATTTTTTTAATAAATAATTAAAAGTTAGAGATTAACTTTCAACGGTTACGATACACTTCTTTCGGAGCTCATTTTTACACCAGCTTTCTGAAATCCGCAAAGTCATATTTCTGTATGTTAACATACTGAAATATGAAGCCTTAATGACTTTTTTTCACGACTTCTTTAGTTTCTCAGTTTTTATACGTACGTGGAGACCCTAAAAGTTTCCAAATTATTTATCAACTCTCTCTCACTCACGGACTAAATATAATTTCAATTTTTTATGGATTGTTAGGATAATACATATGTAACAGGTATAGATTACACGGCACATCGTCAAATAGAGAGTACAAACTAATAATATAATAATCTAACACTGTTACCAATTAGTGAAACTATCGCTTATTTCAAAAATAGTATCAGTTCGAATTTCATTCCATCACCACACAACATGCGACAAAAGCGACTTAACAATAGTAGGAACTTACAAAATAACAAATTAATGTGTGTGCTTTGGATAGGCGATTGTATTGGGTGTAAAACCAAATGAAAGAGAATTATTTGAATTTATACATATACTGTTTATAAATTTAAGATTAATACTGTTAAGGAGATACCGTTTAAAATTAATTTGATTTTAAAACTTCATACTTTATTACAGACCCCAAAATCCAAGAAGAAATTACAAAGACATATCATAATAGTTGTTATATTGATAACGATACTTAGGAAAACACTTCTTTGCTATTAGAGTCATAATTATATGCAAGTCATATATTTATGAATTAATTCGTCCGAGCCAATGATCTAATGTATTTGCTATATATTTGAAAATACTGTCGCCATATAGCAAAAAATATTTGGGCACATATTAAAAAAATCTGAAATCAATGGACATACATAGGTATATATAGTTGTACTCTGTTACAAACAAATACTAATAAAGACACTACACACCATGCTGAAGACCATGATTAATATCCTGAAAATTAAGCAACAGGAGTGAAAATAAAATGTAAGTACATAAAACAGAAAGAAACATGCAAAACTTACAAGAGAGAAAGCACAAGGAGAAGAAGCGATAGTCCAAGCATTCGAGCCGCGACAGAGTTAAGTTTAAGTGAACAAATGCAGAATATCCCGTGTTCCAGCTAACAGGCAAGTGTTACTCACAGCTGCGCCTGCTCCGGAGTCTCGAACGTGATATACACCGCTTGGGTGTTGGCATCGCGCGAGTTGGCTTTTTCGCACTGCTGCACGTTGCCGTACTGTAACAGCAGCGGCTCGATGTTGTCGAAGCGGACATGCGGGGGGAGCCCACTGATGAGTACTCTTGATGAACGGCTGTGAGAAGCGATATAACCACTTGTAGATATTTATCCAGACATCCACCAGGAAGAACATAGGTAAGTAGGGTACAGTCTTGAACTATACATATTGTAAAACGCAACCTTAGGAGTTTTAACATATAAGATTGGTGTTTGATAAATTAATGTTTTCGATAAAAATGTGCCTGCAAAACAGTCATTCAATGATCCTCACAATCACAATAAGCATGATATGGGCTCCAACAAGGTGATTACTGTACAACTGAAAGCCTATGAGCTATAATACGAGCTATAATTTGACCTATGAGCTATGATTCTATAGCAAGATATATAGGGATAGGGCAGGCAAATAAATACTATTTTAAAAGGAAGGCAAGGGGCACCACATGTAATAATAATATTTAAAAAATATTTATGTAGTTTTTATTGCTCATATTTATTAAACCTATAAGAACCCGTGGAACTTGTAAAAACAACGAACGTCAAAAGAAAGGATAGAGGATAGAGGAAAACATATGGAATAATTTTAAATAAAGCAACTAATTATAATAAACTCTAAAATTCTTGCAAAAATAACAAGTTGCCAGAAATCAGTTTATATACTCTGACAACTTCAAATATGTAGAATTGCTAAAACGAATTCAAATAGGGACACGAGTGTTTATTTGAAGCATTGTTTCAGTATTTTTTTCTTATTTAAAAAATTGAAATAGATCAATATATGTACTTCGAAACAATTGATATATATATATATATATAACATAAATATTAAATGCAGTTTAAATACATCTAATAAACATGTTTTTAATTACGCTAGTTAGGTACCAGTTAGCTTACCTTAAACATAAATAGAGGACTTCAGCAAATCATACGCAAATGCTTATTTGTAAAATACATATTTCGTGATTTTCTTATATACCATCAACATGTTCAAATGTTTTATCATTACGAATATATGTTTGAAAAGTTGGATAGCAAATATACAACATAAAGTTTATTATTATTATTAAATAAAATCCTAATCAATGCAATATATTTCACCCCATTTGGCAGTAACTAAAAGGAACACTAACGGGTCGCCCGTTCCTCATACCGCCGCTTGTGTGTTGCCACAAAATGGCGGAGCCGCGAAGGCAAAGATGACATCATCGCCTGCGCCCTCGTCACTACATACGCTCCGCATCCCAGACGCCCGCCCGCACGGCCGGTCGGCGCCTGGTGATCGTGTTCCCCCCGCTTCATCTCGCCCGCGCGCCATTCACAAATTCAATTCTGTTGCCCCACTCGCTCATCGTATCGTAATGCCTAGCGTATTGCCTCTTTTCTACTACTCATTCTAGACACATTCAAATTTCACTCATTCAGCTTGATCAGCAAAAATGTCTCACTCGAGCGGTCATGCATGCTCGAGGCAGTACCGACTACGAAATAAAAATGTATAATTTGGCAAAAAAAAAATGTACCTAAAGCTTTCAGACAGCATAATTTTAGGTGAGAAAAGTACAAAATCTCAACTGATTCTTTAGTTTTTTATGTTTCACAAGGCAAGTCTTAGTTTTATCAAACTAATATCGACTAGTTCAGAAGTAGGGTTTATTAAAATTTTAAATTCTAAAACTTTATTCTCGACAATTTAGAATTCTCAATTCAGAAAACGGGTGTAAAGTGCGAAAAAAGTACTGAGTATATAAATTCACAGATTTCGTTAGACAAGACAATACTATTTTTTAAGAAAGAAGCAGATTTTTTTATATTCGATCTTTATTAAAATTAACAGGAAATCTGTTTAAATCTTAGTTGTGATTTAGTACGCATTGAAGGTACACCGCTTAACATAGAGTATAGTGTGTGCAGGGAACAGTGTTGAGTTGTTGAGAATGGAAAGTTGAGAAAACGACGACACTGTACTGTGCTGCTGAGTTCAATCCTGATGTCAAACAAATACGTATACAAATAGAATAAATGCGGTCGAGATACGTTCTTTAGACTGACTTGCAGAGAAAAACTCGTAGCCTGCATTCGTAATGAATAGTCAATCAGGTGTTCAGGTGGAAAGTGTAAAGTACGCTGCTAACAAAAAAGTAAGGTAAGAGTAGGTAAAAGGTTAACAGTAAAACCTTTACCAGAAAACGCAGTGCCGCTATATTAGAATGTCGTGCCGAATCAAACGGTAATATACCTAAGGTAATGAAAGTGAGGCAGATGTCAGGAAGAGCATAAAATAGCATAAATGCAGTAGAGATGAGTTTTTACGCAGAATTTGCAGAGTGAAGTTCGCAAACTACATTCGTAATGATGATATATAAGAAAGGCGGGTGAAGAAAGGTGTAAAATTAACAAAGGTTTAGGAAGAATGCCGGATGAAATAGTGACAAAATTAATATACAACGCTAGAGTGGAAGGATGTATTTCAAGGCCTTTCATGATCAAATTAAGCACGTACTGTTGAAAAGTAAGAAATGTGATAAGCAATAAAAATCGCTGAGCAAGTATCAAAAAGAGATAGGTATAAATTTCAAGGTGAAAAAGTTGAAAAGAATATTACTCAACGGTGATTAAAAAATATGCTTTTCCCGTAACCATGTTCAATGTACAGATTTAATTTGACCCACGGGATTTGTCTAATTGTTCACAGAAGCTATTATTAGTGAGATTTAAAGCGGCTGACAGACGTCTGCACGTCAGGTTACCACAATATGGCAAATTTCCGCAATAGAGATGAGGATGACTATTTTTTTTCTGTCCGTCGCGTCAAGTAGAGTTATTATTACAGAATATTCTGCACGTATTTATTTATTTAATTTGCGTAATCAATAAATTTGGCATAAAATATCACATTACGTCATACCTTTGTACATTTTCTACATAGTTGTGACGTAGAGAGCCCCCACACCTCAAGGGGCTAAACGTGCCTTCCGAAGCACGGGGTAACTCGACATTATATTTTTTAGTCACCCATCAAGTGACCGACCCTTGCGAAAGCTGCTTAACAACAATGATCGCGGGTCACGGCACATATCCACTACGCCACCGAGCTACTCAATAGCTCTAATAATATAATAACATCTAATAATTACATATATGAAAACTAGCACCTACTCCATTTTTTCTGGCTACCTTTCCTGTGAACGGGTCAACCGACAGAGCTAATGAGTGCGTCACAGAGTTATATGTCACAGGGAGTGACAAAATTAGTTTTTCAGGAATAAATTAACATGTTATTAACGTATCAATTAAGCAAGTGTATAACAGGACAACCGACAGCCTTATCGCTATAAGGTAATCGACGCTGGAAAGCAAACACGTAGTAACCCGCAAAACCAAAATGGATATTTAAAATGGATAATCTTTATATTTTTCCAAAAAACAATATCTTATTTCTGTAAAAATTGACTAAGGAACACCTTCTTTGTTACCATGGACGTTTATAGGAATTATTTATCGAAAAAATAAAAGTTTTTCTTCTCTGAAGAACAATTTTGGTTTTGTGGGTTACTACGTGTTTGCTTTCTAGCTTGGTTTTAACATTTCCCTTAAACAGCTTAACAGAATAGCTCTGCGACAAATAACACGATTCAACAAATATCAAAGTGCTCGATCCGAAATGTTCGTTCTCCGCAAAATATTTGTAGTCTGGATCCCCTGAGATCTTACTCCGATAGAATGATTTAACAAAAATATTTGTCTTTTCTCTCAGTACCAAAGATTTCCGTATACTTTGCGGTTAAATGACCGAAACCAGATTACGAAGGGTACAATTAATATGAAATATTGACCTCATTATCATCATCGCCAGCACCATTTGTCTAGGCATGTTATACCCACCACGCGGGCTCAGTGTGTATTGGTGGGTAATAACGACTGCAGATGCAGCCGGGACTAACTGCTCAACGTGCTTTCTGAATCATAGAGGAGCTAGAGATAACGATTTTTTGGTCAGCCCTCCTATGGCCGGACATTGCGTAAGATGCTTAACAACTGTATCGTAAAACGCGCTAAACACTGCACCATTGAGCTGCATGAAATATTGATGAAGATTCAAAATCAGTGTACTTAATCAGATTCATTTGTGATTTATGTAGGAACAGTGGCCCACATCCGGACAGTCTGGACCATGGAATGTGAAGAGCGCCTAATACATATTGTTAAATATTTGGGATGGTCTCACACCAGTCACAGGATTAAAGGCTGGGCGTAAAGACAAAGAAAACGGGACGTAATTAATGAGATAGACAGGGACAAAGGATGGCGTATTATTTCGAAAACAATTACCCGTACACTATTACTAACGAGTTTGCCTTTTAAGCTTATTTGGATGTTACTTCTTTGTACAAAACCAATCGAAAATTAGTACGTTTTTTGTATACGCCTCTCTTACTGCAACGCATTTGCGACTGTTATGTTGATAGAAATATATAAAAGTCTAATAGTTTTTTCTGAACTTCGAAACAATTGTTATGGCACCACCCAAACCCCTTAGTTATTTACTTGCCAACTCCTGATGTAGAGCATCAAACGTAAACATGTATAAAACTATATGATATTTATGAATGGACACACTTAACACCTAACTGCATACAAATGTACCTATGTTGAATAGTCTAGAGTAGAGAAAAGTGTTTTAACGTTATAGATTTACATAGATAACCACTATCAAAATGATTCTGTTCATAATTTTATACAATAAATACATATTTATACTTTATCACTTTACTCGTGCAGTTTATAAGTACAAACTGAATGATTCATAAACTGGTGTCGTATCGTATGTAGCCGGCGATTGCCACCGCGCCGCCATTTTACTTTACAGACCACGTGCTCTGTGCATTGGAATTTACTTAACCATTGTAAGCAGAATAATGTTGATAGCAAACTGGCTGTAGCGTCCCGTCGCTACAGCTGTAATCTAAAGTTAATGACCTACAATGTCAATTAGAAATAACTACTAACATTCGTAAATCACTCCACTTTTATTAGTAAAGTAATTAAGATTAATATTTAGTAATGATACAAGTA